TCACTGTGGACTGGACTGGAAACTGCCAGGTGGCCTTTGAAAAACTGAAGAGGTTGCTAATCTCTGCTCCCATTCTGGGGCACCCTGACTTCTCGCAGCCATTCATTGTTGAGACCGATGCAAGCCTCCAGGGTTTGGGTGCAGTGCTATGCCAGGAAGTTGAGAAAAAACGTACTGTCATATGCTATGTCGGGGGCTGCGGAAGGCAGAGAGGAACATGGACAATTACAGCAGCAAGAAGCTTGAACTGCTAGCCTTAAAGTGGGCTATTACAGAAAAATTCAGGGACATGCTCCTGGGATCCCGGTTTACAGTATACACTGATAACAACCCTTTGTGTTACCTGCAAACAACGGCCAAGCTGAACGCCACTGAAATGCATCAGAGTTGGCTTCCTTTCACTTCACCGTGAGGTACAAGCCAGGACGCGCTAATGTGGTACCAGACATCCTTAGCCGGAAGGGAAATCATGGCGAGGAGCCAGCTAGCTCACGCTTTGAAAAAATTGCAGCGGAACCAGTCGCTGCTAGTCTGGATTGGCATCTCCAAGCTCCCAACCTACCAGAGGACCTGAAGGAGGCCGTTATCAACTGTGTAGCGCCCCAGTGGATGCAGGAGATCAGCACACGGTCCAGACAGACGGTCCCTGCTGCTACAGGCACATTGCCTGAAATACCCAGACCGGAGCTGAGCAAGCTGCAGCGGGATGACCCAATGCTTAGGAGGATCTGGCACTGGTGGGATAAGAAGCAAGCCCCTACAGTGCGAGAACTGAAGCAGGGACTCAAGGAGGTCCGAAGGGTGCTGCGCGACTGGGTCCGCGTGAGGTCCGTAGACAACGTACTTCACCGAGTATTGGTGAAATGCGGTCAGAACGTGCAGCAGGTGCTGCTTCCGGCTGCCCTGAAAGCATCAGTACTAAAAGCCGTACATGATCAGGCTGGACACCAAGGCATAGAACGAGCCCTACATCTCGCGAGGGCCAGATGCTTTTGGCCAAACATGGCTAGAGAGGTCGAGCAGCCTGTCAAGAAGTGCCAACGTTGCACCTTGGCAAAAGCTAGGAAGCGACCCCAAACAGCCATGGGAAGCCTGATCGCAAGTCAACCACAGGAAGTAGTGGCGATTGATTTTACAGTGTTGGAGCCTGGTCTAGGAGGTAAGGAGGACGTTTTGGTGATGACCGATGTGTTCACCAAGTACACGCAGGCCATAGCCGTCAAGGCCCAGAAGGCTACCACGGTGGCTAAGACACTGGTAGACCACTGGTTT